GTTTGGAGGCCAGCCTGGGCTACACAGTGAGACCCTGTGTCGGCAACAGCGGCACAAATAAGTAACAGGGCTGGGAATGTGGCTCACCCGGTAGCTAGGGTGCTTGCTAGCATCATGGATCTGATGCTCCCGCTTTCATCCTCGCCACCGCGTAAACTGAACGTGACGGTGTGTGTCTCCAAGCTTGGAGGCCAGCCTGGGCTACACAGTGAGACCCTGTGTCGGCAACAGCGGCAACAGGGCTGGGAATGTGGCTCACCCGGTAGCTAGGGTGCTTGCCTAGCCTGCTAGCATCATGGATCTGAAGATCCCGCTTTCATCCTCGCCACCGCGTAAACTGAACGTGACGGTGTGTGTCCGCAGGTTTGGAGGCCAGCCTGGGCTACACAGTGAGACCCTGTGTCGGCAACAGCGGCAACAGGGCTGGGAATGTGGCTCACCCGGTAGCTAGGGTGCTTGCTAGCATCATGGATCTGAAGCTCCCGCTTTCATCCTCGCGTAAACTGAACGTGACGGTGTGTGTCCGCAGGTTTGGAGGCCAGCCTGGGTTACACAGTGAGACCCTGTGTCAGCAAAAGTAACAGGGCTGGGAATGTGGCTCACTCAGTAGCTAGGGTGCTTGCCTAGCCTGCTAGCATCATGGATCTAAAGATCCCGCTTTCATCCTCGCCACCACGTAAACTGAAGGTGACGGTGTGTGTCTGCGGGTTTGGAGGCCAGCCTGGGCTACACAGTGAGACCCTGTGTCAGCAACAGCGGCACAAATAAGTAACAGGGCTGGGAATGTGGCTCACCAGGTAGCTAGGGTGCTTGCCTAGCCTGCTAGCATCATGGATCTGAAGCTCCCGCTTTCATCCTCGCCACCGTGTAAACTGAACGTGATGGCGTGTGTCTGTGGGTTTGGAGGCCAGCCTGGCTTTTATAGTGAGTTCCTGGCCAGCTAGGGCTGTGCATAGGGGGACTATTTCCCAAAGTATCTAAGGTAACTTGTGGAGGGAGAGTTGTAGCCCAGTTAGTAGAATGTTTGCCTAGCATACTCGAATCCAAACATTGAATTAACCCGGTGTGACATGATGCCTGCCTGTAAACCTAGCGCTGGGGAGGCTGAGGCAGGAGAATGAGTGGGGGGATTTGCAGCCAGCCTGGGTGAGCTCCAGGCAAGCCAGGGCTATATAGTAAGACCTTTAAAAAGGTAAGGGAGGGCCAGGTGACTTAGTGGGTGAGGTGTTTGCTGCACCAGTGTAGAGTTGGATCCCAGGAGCCGTGTAGAAGTGGAGGGAGAAAAGGATCTCCACAAAGTTAGATGTCCTATGACCTTGTCATCCAAACATATGTCATGTACACACACTCCCCAGAATAGTAATCACGGGATTTGATAATAGAATCAAGGCTGAGTCTTAGGGACATAGGTACTTTTTTCTGTCACCCAGGATCTACACATGGGCTTCTAGCTGTGCACTGTTGGGCATGTCATTTAAGCTCTTGCCACAATTTCCACCCCTGTAAATGGTGTTCATGCTTCTCCAGAGAGAGAGATGTACTTTGGTTGGGGCATGCACCAGGCCCTGGTTTCATCTTCGACACAGTGTAAGTCTGGTGATTCACCCCTGTAATCCCAGCCCTCAGAATGTGCAGGCAGGAGGATCAAAATTCATTCTCTGGTACAATAGGGTGTTCGGGGCCATGCATGGTGGAACATGCTTTTAATTCCAGCACTTGGGAGGCAGAGGCAGGAGGAGCCCTGTAACTTGGTCTATAGCCTGGTCTACATATGGAATTTCAGGACAGCCTGGGCTACATAGACAGAACCTGTTCTGTAGAAAGAATTGAACCAGTGTGCTGGGCAAATACCTACACCTCCAGCTACATCAGAGCCCTCTCTTTACTTTTCACTATTCAACAGGACCTCACTAACTTGCCCAGGCTCACGCTGAATTTAAGAACCCTCCTGCCTTAGGTCCATGTCTTGAAGAAGAGGAAGAAAGAAAGAATGTGTTGGTGATGATAACAGGAGGGGCTGGAGAGGTGGCACGGTGGTTGAGAGGACTTGCTGCCCTTCCGGAGGATCCCAGTTTGATTCCCAGTGCCCATGCCTGGCACTGACAACCAGCAGTGACTTCAGCTCTAGGGGGTCCGGCATCCTCTCCCTGCTTCTGCAGGCCCTGTACACACAGAGTGTACACACATACACACACATATAAATTAATCTTTGTTGGTGGTGGTGGTGGTTTTTTTTTGTTTTGTTTTATGAGACAGAGTTTCTCTGTATTGCTTTGGAGGCTGTCCTGGAACTCGCCTCTGCCTCCCGAGTGCTGGGATTAAAGGTGTGCGCCACCAATGCCGGGCCCTAAATTAAAGTTTTTAAAGTTGGAGCTGGTGGCAGCCTTCCTAGGTTGTGAGGACTGTGCCAGTTCACACAGAAAGGGCAGCAGTTTCCAGCTCAGGGTGATTTTGTTGCTTTTTGTTGTTGTTGTTGTTGCTGGGAATTAGACCAACATGCTGGGCAGAGTGTCTGCACCTGGAGCTCCATCCCAGCCCTCTGTTTCCTTTCTGTATGAGACAGGACATAACTAAATTGCCCAGGCTCACTCTGTTGCCTAGGCTGACACTGATCTTAGCAGTTCTCCTGCCTTAGGTTCCAGGTGACAGACAGACTTTGACAGGCTGACTGGTGTTGATACTCAGAGTCTATTTGGCCTGTGTACGGTCACAGTAGTGGAAGGGGGGGGGGGTTCAGGATGTGGAGGACAGAGGACAACTTTGTGGACTTGGTTGTCTCCTACTTTTATGCGGGTCCTGGGAATCAAATTCAGGTTGGTAGACTTGATGGCAACCGCCTTTACGTGCTGAGCTGACTCAACAGCCCTGAACACAAACTTTCTTTAAAACAATTTTTAAAAATTGTATTTATTTATTTAGAGTGTGGGTGTCCATGCTCTAGTGTGCATGAGGAGGTCAGTGGACAACTTCTGGGAGGCAGTTTGGTTCTTCCTTCAGTGTAGGTGCCGGGGATTGAACTCAGTGATCAGCTGGGCCCCAGGTACCTTTACCTGCTGAGTCATCTCACTGGCCCACAAGTCTATTGATACTCTTAATCTTTTTTTTTTTTTTTTTTTTTTTTTTTTTTTTTTGTTTTTTAAAACAGGGTTTCTCTGTGTAACAGCCCTGGCTGTCCTGGAACTCACTCTGTAGACCAGGCTGGCCTCAAGCTCACAAAGAGCCTCCTGCCTCTGCCTGCTGAGTGCTGGGATTAAAGGCGTGCGCCACCAACGCCTGGCAGTCCTCACAATCTTGTTCCAAGTAAGGGCTGTGGAGTCAAGGAGTCAAGCAAGGATGCTGTGACCCAGGTGTGATCCAGAGAGGTCAACGAAATAGGGCTCAGCCTGCAACCCCAGTACTCAGGAGGTAGAGGCAGGAGCATCACCAAGTGTACAAAGCCAGCCAGAGGTGCATAGGCAGTACTAGACTAGCCAAGGCTACAGAGCACGATCCTTGGGATGAAAATTAAGGATGAAAAATAAAAACTCCAGCAAAAAAGAAGCAGAGATGAAGCCCCTTGTTCCCTGGGCCTTGATGGCAGTTCACCGTTGTGTGTGTCATGTTCCTAGGTAATGGTGTCCTCTAAGGTCCCCAGAGTTTATGAC